ATCTGAGTAAACCTTTTTTCATGCCGTCTCTTTTTTCACTTTCTGTTTGTAGAGTTTTACCTTGGGGTGAGCCTGCATGCCTCTGCTTGCCAGTCATTTTGCTGCTGCTACACCTGAATTTCCCCACTGAGAGACAATAAAGGTTATTTCTTTTCTACTCAGTGCGTCGGTACCGCTACTCTGTGTTACTATGGGGATGGTTGGTTCAGAGTGATGTGGTTGGATTACCTCTTCAATCACATTGGGTATTTTACATGTTCACTAATTTGGTGACTTTTGAAGGCAATTTGTTAAACTAAATTTTACGCAGAGGTATCAGAGTTAAGAAGGGTGGACACATACAGACATAAACTATGTATTTTTCCTCTTCCCATCCATTATTATGCTCTACTCTGTTGGTCCAAAACCTAAAATTTCCAGTAAATGCATTTGTTGTATTATTAAAAAATGTAAATGCCTCTGCAAGGTTTGTATGAAGCAAAATCTTTAGCTAAAGAGTCAGCCACAGATCGTCTGTTTTCATGTTGAATTTCCATTCCAACGCAGCGCACAAATAAAATCAATTCACCTTGACGCTGCGCCGTGGAGTCAGTGAGCATCACCTTGACGGCTCGGACTCGTCACGAGTCAGTCGCGTCTCTGAGGGTGTTCTGGTGAGACATTCAATTCAAACAAACGACGCAACTTCCTTTAATGAAGACTGCAAATCTGTCAGAGAGCTTCCTTCCTTCGCCGCTCGCAGACGGAAAATTACCAAACTGTTGATAGATGGTTAACAGGTGCAGGATAATTATGCTAATCATGGCAACAGCCAAATAAACTGATTGCCATGTTCATTTAAATGACAGCAATGTTCCTTTGGTGGCTAATTAAAATAGGTTGGAAGACAGGAAACGAGGCGGATGGGTTTGGAGAAGAGAGAGAGGAGGTGTTTAAATAAAAGCCTTCTCTGGGGCCTCGGTAATAAGCTGTATTTCATTGGTTTAATGATGTCATAATGAATTTCTAATGATGGGGGATGGGGTAAGGTGAGCAGTGAAACAGGCACCAAACTGTAGATTTTACATCTGCAAAAAGAGTGCTAACAAGGGAGCTCGAGTTCATGCTAATGCAAAGTAATGAAAATAAAAATTAGTAGAGGACATCGAGCAGGTTACGTGCTCCATCTGGTTTAGGACTAGCCCAACGGGAAGGCGAAAGGGAGGGCTTGAAGGCGCAATTACTTTTTATCAGCAACGCGCCTTGACAGGTTTGGTCTCCCTTTCCTGGTGACCTGGGAAAAGGCGTCATTACAGGAACTGGAGGCCAGCAGGGCTGACTTCTGGGTCGGTGTAAAGGAGTGAAAGGTGAATACAGGCCCGATTAATGTTTATAGAAGCAGTAAAGAAAAAAAAAAGTAGCCTTATCAGCCACTTCTTTGGTTACTTTCACACTCACAGCTGCTTTATTTTGGCACTTTACTTTAACCAAATGCATAAGACGAACTCTTCTTTAAAAAGTGATTTGCTCTTTAACTGTACCAACACCACCAGACCAGGAGTAGCAAATCTGAGAAAGATGTAGAGAATTTGAAACAAATCTGTGAAAAGCAAGTATATCATCTCTCCTCATGTCCAAAGAAAACTACAAACAGTTTCGTCAGAATTCACACACAGCGATGTTTTTCAACCATGGGACCAGAGTTAGAGTTAAAACAGAGGGTATTAGGAAAAGTTATCTTTTTTTTAAAACAGCTCAAATGTTTCTAGGTATCATTCAAAGGCTGTATCATATAATAATTAAAAATGTGGTAGATTTTTGTTTTTATTTCGGTTGTGGTTTTGTGTACAACAGAAACAGACCTTTTTAAAAAATATATAGTTTTGCTACGTCCAATGAAAAAAAAACATAAACAAGTGCTAAAACACAAATCTGTTCGTAACATAAATGTTGTGCAAGAGCTAATTTTTTTATTTAAACCAGAACAGTGACAGAGTGCGCGTCACAGACTTTATACAGTTTTGTTGAGACACCGTTAAACCACGTTTAGTACCTAAAGGTTTCTCACATCTGCTCCATTTACATCAACACAGGAAGAAGCAAAACTCTCAGAAGGATCTATGGATTGGATTAACTATTACTGCTATCAATGACAATCTGATAAAAGCTTAATCAATGGGAACCTAAAACGTCATCTGAAATCTCAATGGACCTGTTATGATTACATTTAAATCGACACTAGAAGAAAATTTTTCATTAGGTTTCCTACAAAACACAACACTCTGTTTGCGAGCCATTTTTGCACCTATTGATGAGAATATACAGTATATTCTTTATTTCTTGTTGATGTTTGTGTCCACAGAGTGGAAAAAAAAAACATGCCGAGATCTGCAGGAAAGAAAGACCTACCTTTATTATCTGTTTCTGAGAAATTCTGACTATTTAAATGTATGCTACATCACAGGGATCTACTCTGTTCAATATATTGTAATGTGATGTTTGGCCTTAATGGAAAATCAATGGTGAGACAAGCCCGCCACTGCTGAGACCATACTAAAGCAATTTCTAAATTGACATATGGAGGACTGGTGTGATTGATTCTGACTGCTGTTGGATTTTAATACCATTCACTGCGAGCTCATTGACTGTCAGACGTCGTCTTGTGGTTTATCTGCAAACTGCCAAGTGAGTCCTCGTCTCCTTTTTCTTCTCTCTCATCGTTTTTCTGCTCCTTATTCGTCTCAGTGCATGCTCCAGAGAGCTGATAAGTTTGGATTACAGCAGATATGTTTGATAAATGAGCAGAAGACTTTACACAAATAACAGAAGCCAGCAGTGTGTTCATACGTCACCCTCCTTGTTTTAATAGAAACACATGCTCGTTCGGATGAAGCGGCGCATTATTAACGTTCCCAGCTGCATCAGCTGTCATCATGAATTTAATGACATCATGCCATTACTAACAGCGTACAAGCTCAGAGAGGCTCTCACCACTTACACCAACCAGCCTTCTGTGTGGAGCTACACACCACTTGGAAAGGGATTAGAAAGAGCAGTGAAGCACTCTGTCTTTAGCTGGAGCCAACAGGAAATGCTGATCCTGGATTAAAGAACAGTCTCTTTATTTGCCCATTTTTGCAGACGTATGACAGAAATGAGACCATAAGTTCATTTAAGTGTTTGACCTGCTGTGTGCTTTAGCTTTCATAGCCTTTTCAGGCCTGACGCCACTGGGAGAGACTCAAGGAAACATGGAGAGAACATGCAGCATGTTCAGCAGGAAGAACAGAAAACCTCTGCTTCACCATCCATCCATCCATCCATCCATCCATCCTCAGATAAATATGATCAACCCTTACAGCCAGTAATCCATCCATGACTCAGTATTAAATGAAATTATATCTGCTCTACAACAGATGAACTATCTGGATCTATCCAGAGCCGTTTACTGGACCTGAAGTGCTCTAGATTGTTCCAGCTCGTGTTAGATGGGCCCATTTTACCAAAGTCCTCACTGCTGGAAACCTTCATGAACAAAGTGGCTCCATTTCATGACATCAAATGACAAAATGCAAATACATTAATGAATTTATTTGCAGCAGAGTATTGATCAGCTAACTGACCATCAAAAGAGTCCACATCAGCCTTCATTCCCACGTTAAAGACAGAACTTTGTGGGCAGTTGCAACACGATCACACATTTAATTAAGTACAAAAGTTAACTTTATTGTCCCACAAAAACTCCCAATAAAGTTGATAAGATTTACAACACACTGTAGATGTAGGTAGCCGAGTATAAAGGTACAACAATACATTTGATTCAAACTTAAAGCTAGCAGAGCTACATCAGGGTTGTTTGGTTTGTTTTACCACATCCAGAGAGCATTCACACATTTGTGTCATTAAATCACGTTTTTTTAAACCATCCTTCATGATCCACATTTGAACCTGTCCCTGGAATATTCTGGATCACTGTAGAAAGTTCCAAAAATCACTCATTTTTCCTTACATGGTAATGTATTAATATAACTAGCATAGTCATCACATTATGTTTCAAAACAAAAGTCTCTAAATGCTAATAGTTTAAGGAAGACTGAGCCCTACTTTTCCCCTGCTGAGAGGTAAATGTGAACATTTTTCAAGCAGCATGCAGGTCAATGATAATTAAGCACCCAGCAATCATCAGCAATTACTCTGTAATATGTTTACATGAATGCAGCTGGGAACAAAACTGCAAAGCCAAGTGGAAACAAAACCCTTTCCATCTTTAATGTGACAAATATCCTCCACATTTCAACCTAATGATGTAAAAAAAAAAGCATATTTAATTACCTACATTCAGAAACAGTTCTTATTTTTACATGTTCTTTTCTCTTTCCCTGTCTCCTTTCCTTTCAGAAACCATCTTCTTGACTGAATAAAAATACTTTTTCATCTAAATCTGCCAGGGTATGGATCATTTTAAGCCTCTTAATGGCTTTTGGATCCTTTTTTGTAAAACTAGGAGGTGAAGTATAAACAAGATATATTTTTATGCCTCTTTTGTTTGCTTTTTAGTTGAAACTCACAGGATTACATAACTTAAAAAGTTGAAAAAGCCTTGGAATGAGTTTGCACGGTGTCATTTTTGTGTTTTTTCCCCCCTCCTTTCCATGAGTATAGGTCTAAGCAACAGCCATCCAGTGACATGGAATAAGATTGCTGACCTTTAGGTGTTACATTAAATGCTCATCCAAGCTCTCAGTGCAACACTGGGGGTCAACGAAACAGACAGATTCAGGTCTGAACTACCTTTAAATTAATGCGAAGCACAAAGGGATGCTGATCTGCACTTTAGATGAACTCACACATCCCTGTACTTCTCTATGCACACATGTCCAACACATAAGGAAAGTCCAAACAGCAGCAATAACAGTAAGCTTCTCAGAAGCTTATATTACTTATTGAAGTCAATTGTTTAACTGGAAACAAGCAGCCAACTTTCTGGAAAACATCAACCAGGAAGCGTTTTTATTTCTTACCTTGCCGAAGTCTCTGACGTCAAAAAGATCAAACGGGTCAAAAAGTTCGCTGTTCCTCAAGCCGAACTTGTCGTGGCACACTTTTAGGAATGTCCGGATATTCTTCAGGCACAGGAACTACAGAAAGAGAAAATAAGAAGCAAAACTGACGTAAGTGCCTGAGCGCCATCAGATAACGGTACAATGAAAAGATTAAATATTTCATGCCTGTGCTGCACCAGCACGATTGATCTGGAAGAATATTTAGAAACATGTTCTACAGGTCTGGTTAGGGTTGACCAGCATCGCCGCAGCACTGCTGGGTTTAGTTTTTCAAATGAAGTGACTTTGTAGTTGACCTGCTCCTCTTCCTAGGAACTTTAAAACTGCGAACCTAATCCTCACAGCCACAGAGGATCATGTCGTCTGATGTCTTATCACCACACACAGCATCCTGAGATACGTCCTCTAGATGGAATGAGACCTCTAACTAAAAGCTGAAAAACAACCTGTCAATCAACAGCAGAAACTACCTTCAGCTCCAAGCAAGGGGAGTCCTGTCAATCATTAAAACATAGTGAGATATTAAGGAAAAGAAAAAGCACACAGCTTAAGATCTGAACATACTGGACTAAGAAATATACAGCTGCTAAGATCAGCCGTTAACTATAATATTTACTTTGCAAGTAATTTCTTTGTTGATTGGGCCATATGTTTGAAACGATTATCCTGCTATAGAAACCCGTTTTCAAGGTTTTTATATATGCACTCTGCCAAGATCTCCAAGGCTTTAAAAAAAGAAATCAGGTATACAGGATCACAAATAGTAAGTAAATAAGAAAAATATACACTTTTTTTTGCCATACTGGGAAAAAAAGAGAGATTTCTACCTCTTTTCATTTTAGGTTGCAAGAGTCTGTAATCAAAGTGTCTGATTGGTGTTTAAACCCAGAAAATGACTGAAGAACCAATCACAGATCCAAGATAAACACTGGCTAAAGATGGATGACCTGTCCAGCTTCTAAAGTAAAACATTTTTATAGGAATTGTTAGTGTTTCAAATGAATATTTCAGTTCATTAAACACAACTATTCCTGTTTTTTCTCTACTAATTAAATTAATATCAACACATTTAAGATGATGTCACTGCACTAAACTTTATTTCCGGGTCTGCAGGACTAATCCTCTGTGTTTACGACCTGCTGAGGCAATACAAATACCTGAATCTACACAGAAAACCACAATCTTTGGCAAACTGATGAGCTGACCCGGTCAATTTAACAGACTGAACGAATTCAGTGTAGCACAAAATATGCCTTTTCATCACTGGCAACAAAACCAAAGCATGTGTGAAGCATGTGTCGAGGCGGACAATCTTCGTAGGGGTTACAGCCGTCGACGCTTCTCCGGTCTAAATACCGATGCTTAAAATATTCCATCAGTCAGCCAAACCTTGAAGGCAGGGGCTCAGACCGATTACAGCGGCGTTGCAGTGTGATTTATAATCAAACCTGGTCTCTGATCCTTCTGTATGTGAAGAATGCATTACCTAGCAAGCAAATTCACACACCGCCCTGATTTGCTCTTTCAGTCCTGTGTGCGATATGAGCTGACGAGCAGGGAGAGGACGGCACTCACACAAGAGTTGAGGCAACGAGTCTATATGGAGCGAAATGCTTGATTGGCTCATATCTGCTGAAGGCCTCGGCCACATATTTCTTTGTAATGGCTGTTACGTAAGACCAGCAGCCTTCCGAGTCACATCTGAAGCAGGGCTGATGTTAGACAGCAATCAGGGCAGCAACGATGGCACCAGAAGGTGCAGGCGGAGTTTTAGACTGCAAATCTTTCCCTCACCAGCTGCATACGGTGGCCTTTAAGACTTTCATAAAAGCTTGTTTATCAGAAAAAAAATCAACTCACAAAAAAAACACACACATCTTCAATAGAAAAGGATGAGTTGAGTAAGTTTCTTTTTCTTATATTAAAGTTCCCAGTGAGTAACTGGAATTGATTCATGTTATTAGAACCAGGTGAAAATCTCATAAAAATGGTTACAACCCTGATCATCTCCTTCATAAGAGGGTTATAAAACATCAGAGGCTTCTTCAGATACGCTGCACTACAGACTGCTACAGGAGGTCCTTCCTGCACACAGACATCAGCATGTACAACAAACCTTTTGATAATATGAGTTATAATAAGATTTAGTTTCCCTCTGGGATTACTAAAGTATTTCTACTGATATAAAAACAAATCCTACTTTTGTTTTACTTCTTTGTTTCTTTAAGTGTGAAGTTCCTGTTGAGTTAGCTGCAACATCTGACACCAACGTCAAATGTAGCATCATTTCTTTCGAGTCATTCCTGCATGAAAATCAGAATCGCTGTTAAATTATATGAGAAGCAGCAAAAACCTGCAATGAGACTTTTTAAGGTGGAATGTAGTACAGGTTTTAGCGACTTAGGTTTGTTTCTCTACATGCAATACATCAGGTTTGATATTCACTACCATCTACTTTTAGCTCAAGGTTATCAGAATCTCAAACCAGTCCACTCCTTGTAAGAACCGCTCTCCACTGAACTCTGCAGATGTCTGAGGAGACAAAGTGTTTGTTTTCCCGCAGCTGACTTTGTGAGGTAATATCCACCTCAGACTGATGTTCTAATTAGCTTTCAAAAAGCAAAATCCATCTTGTTGCTGCTACAGTTATTCCTGGTTTGCTTGGTATTTCATGATATTTCCGTGAGCCTCTCCGGGCCACACCTGAGAGGCTCGCCGAGTCATTCTCATTCATACGAGCGCGCTGGCTCAGTCTCAGTGTTACGGGTGCGAACCCCATAAGAGAGCCACACAGACTAGGAAAAAGAACTGCGATTGGCCGCCTCGCCAAAGTGACATTTGCAGTTCAGCGGCGGAGGTTATCATGCCTGCAGATCCACTTGTGCTGAGGGGGGAGGAGAAAAAGGAAAGAGCTTATTTTCCCAGCCCTGATATGAAAAGGTAACATTTGCTGGAGTGGTCTGCAGGCAAGAGAGAGAGAGAGAGAGAGAGAGAGAGAGAGAGAGAGAGAGAGAGAGAGGTTCACTGCAGATACGAATCAGGACAGGAAAGATGTGTCTGACATTCTAATGTATGTTTGGTAATTCTAAAGCATAGGTGGGGTTAGAATGAAAATACTACGATTCAAGCAGCAAATAAATAACATTAAAAAAAAGAGACATTTTCATGTAGTGCGCTGAGGGCGAGTGCACCTGGGAGTGAACTGTATGTGATCATCTCCTCAGGCTGCGGCTGCCTTCAGCATAACCAATCTGGTATAACGTCACACTTACTGAGTCACAGAGGCTGCATTTAACAAAGGAAGGTTTGGTTTCAAATATGGCAGATTTCAGATGATAAATGTGGGATTTTCTTGCTTTTATTTTATTTGGAGCTTATAAAAGAGCAGGTCTATTTTTCAGGGTTTGTTTTTCCTGCTGTCAGCTTTATGACAAATATTTAATTTCCCCAGTTTTAGGTGGTAAATTACTTTCGGAAAAACAGCAAATACAATTATGTTTACCGGTGCTTTGAGGTACTTTTAGGATGTAAAATGCCCCAGAATAAGTTTTTCCTGCCTAAGAGGAAATAAATGTAACTCAAGCTCAATGTAAGACTTTCTCCTCTAAGTGATTTATCCAACTGACTCAACAAGTTTGTTGTTATTTAACCCGATAACCATGTTCCTCAACACACTTCCATGAAAGCAAACGGGTCAATAAGGACACCAGTCTCCTCATGACAAGACATTTCGTTTGTTTTCAATCAGTAATCACTATTATTGGGCATCAAAGATGGTGTAAAATCTGCAGAATATTTACACTGAACCATAAAGAAAAACATAAAAAACTAAAGCATGACTTCAGCTTGGCTGCTGAATGCAACCTAGTCAAGTAAGCTTAAAACACAAAGTGGGTAACTCTATAAAAAGCAAGAGTTTTTGTCACTCGTTGCTCTGTTCCAAGTAAACACAATGCCAGGATGGAAAGACGACATCAATAACCTTTAAGAGAAACAGTTGCTGCTCCACATCGAACTGGGAGGGATTTTTAGGCCAACTGCAAACCAATTTAAGGTAATCGAGTTGTTAATTTTCCCAGGATTGAGCCTACCTGCAAATTCCCTCTGAGCTCAGAATGTAAAATGTCGAGAGAAATTGTAAAAACTGCAGGAGCTCCGTCTCAGTTAGCACGTCAAATATTAAAGTTCGTTAAACGGCAACGAGAAGAAGATTGGGCAAGTTTGGGGGAAAAACTCATGAAGATCAAAATGTTATTTTCACGAGTATCCTGGACAAGAGGAACAAATCGGGGATACACTGAGAAAACCATCAACTTCTTTGTATTCCAGAATCAAATATACACCATCTGTCTAAAACAAGCAAATCACTGACGTCACCTAAAGAAGTAATTATCACAACGCATCAATCTGGAAAGGGTTAGAAGGCCATTTATAAACTCAGACAGATCACCGACAAGTGGAAAACATTTACCACAGCGGAGAATCTTTCCAAATAAATTCAACCAAGGTCAGGCATGCAATGTTCAGAGAAATGATTCAAAACTCTACAGAGAAATAATAACAACTAGTCCTTGTGTGGAAGAGTTGGGAGGCGGACGCCTCGTCTCTCAACTAAAACTGCAGCATGGTTTAGGTTTGTAAAGTTGTAAACAACAAACCACAGGACTACAGGATCAATGTACTTTGGCTAGATGAGCCAGAATGTTCTAATTACTGCAAAACACCACAAACACATGAAAACTGCCAAGCACGGTGGTGGAGGGGTAGTAATTTGGGCTTGTTTTCAGCCACATGACGAGCCCAGCATGAAGTCTTTGAGTTGTCCACAAATTCCTCAGTATTGTAAATATTCTACAAAGAAATTTTAAAGTCACTTGTCTGAGGCTTTAAGTGAGCAATGAGGAAAAGATCCCTGGTGAAACTGTCCAAGCATCGACAGAAGACCATGGGAAATACCAAGAGCACAAAATAGATAAAGTTAAAGAAATTGGGCTTTTAAAGAACAGAAAATAGAAACTTGGATGCTTGGAAAAAATGGAAGTTTAACCAGGAAAAGAAACTTAAAAAGAGAGCCGCGAGAGCCCCACTCCAGTTTGTCAGCAGGCTTTCAAAAGGGTGGCTTGTGTGTGACAGCAAAGAAACAGTTTGACTTCTCACTGAAGAGTAAACAGCTCCTGAAAACGGCAGACTTGTCAGAGACATGCAGGCGGAGGAGAGCAGGTGGGAGAGGAGCAGCAAAGAGTCATAAAAAAACCCCTGACATGCCCTTCTACCGTATCACCACGCTACGTCGCACATAGAACAATGCGTTATTTCTCTGAGTGGGTGGTCCTTCATCTGCACACACTCCTACATGCTCATTCCTGAGGAGCTACAAATTACACCTTCTACCAAAACGTCGAACAACAGCAAATTACAGAAATGCGACGTGTGAAAAGTACAAAGCTTGTTCCACCAAAGCTGTAGATCTGCTCCGTTAGGGATAGCGGGGGTGAAAGCCAAAAAAAGCGGAAAACTGAAAGCAGAACACCACAGATATGGCTGCAAAAACAGAATCAAGCAATCTGTTCAGTCTCCCCTCATATCCCTACTTTCATCACCTTTGGGAAATGAGCAATTAGTGGTAATCTAATAACATGTTTCATCGCGTTGCTGCTAGAAAAGAACACTGTTGTTGCCCGTATCTGACTCGTTCCTCTAGCAGACGCAGAACGGGCCCAGAACAAGAAGAGGAGGAAGAAAAAAAACTCAGGTTAAACTGAGGTGAGTCAGAGAGAGGATCAGATACCCAGACAGCCTGTCAGAGAATTAAAGTCAATGAAAGAGACTGATGTTTGTCTGAGAACTGTGAGGAAGACTAAATTTGATTCGCCACAAAATCCCCTCAGCAGACAAAGTAATAGGGGCAGTGAATCATCGTACACCCCAGATGTCAGCTCCAAAGCTCTCAGCAGGTGATGAAGCACTCAGAAAATGCACCCAGATGACCACAGGAGGAGCCTGGAAGACTTCTTTATGACTGTAAGTACACAGACTCACTTTAAAAAGCTGCAGGGGATGCACAGTCCAGCAAGGAACCTCCCGGTGCCAGGTGGAGGCGACGATGGATTTCATAAACCTCAGACTCTTTGTCTTTGGAGAAAATCAAAACAAGAGCTAAAGGAATGACAGCGGTCTGCTTTATTGTTCAGATGTCTACAGTCCTCTAATCTAAACGCATGTAAGCAAACACTGTATAACTATCTATGATGTAATGTAAGCAGACATTATGTTACTATCAACAATGACAGCCTCTTTATGGCCAACTTCATTTGTGTCAGTAAAACAAACCAAGCGACCAATACTCAGCCGCTGAGTCAACATTGAGTGGAAGGAAAGGAATGATTTTTTTTTTTTACAGCTGTTCTTGCAACACTGAATTTTAAAACTTTTTTTTTTTCCCCAGAGCGAAAAAAACACAAGATAAGCTCATATGACCATTAGATAGCGAAATGATTTCCATTTTTCTAGTTGTAGCTGAAAAAATGTGCTCGACATTGTGTTATTAATGGTAACAGGTGATCACCAGTTTCATCTAGAAGAAGATTCATGTGTTTTTATTGCTTCCACAACAGGAAATAAGCAGATCCAGCTACAATCGCAAAGCACTCCACACCAGATTAATGCAAACCAGAAGACGAGGTCATTTTTCATCGTCAAAATGAACAGATGTTCACATTTAAAGCTGCTTTAAAAATCTTTACACACTCTCACTAATGCTAAGGTAAAATGGGAATTGGTCAACCACACTGTATACCAATGTAATTACAGTGTAATTTTTTAATTATTCTATGTTCTGTCAGGTACCATTTTTACGAGTTTGCTCTTTGTAAATGTCACATAAGTTATTCAGTTCTTTACCAGCTTTTATTCTGTATAAAGTTACAGACTAATTAATTAAAATGCAAACATGTAGTATTTTCTACCAGATAATGCTTAGCATACGACCTTTAGGACACTAACTACACTAGTCAAAACTTCAGGAATATTTTTTTTATTCCTAAACTGAATTAAATTCAAAGATTTTCAAAACTTTGCCATTTTAAATAACTCAAATCTCCTTATTTGGAAAAAAAAACACCCGATTGTCTGTGTATTACATGTTCGTCCTACAAGAAGAGCCGGACATAAATAAACTGATAAATAAAACGGTATAATAATCTGAGATGTGAAGTATTTTTCTCACATCTTTATCCTCCACTAAACAAGCAAAGTTCAACCACTGACAGAATCAGATCTAATCTCTGACCATTTAATCTCTGCTTCCATTCGGTTTGAAATACGTAAAATTAATCGAAGGAGAAGATCTTCACAAGAGTCTACTTCCCTCAACTGTGATCTCTAAATTCCCCTTATTTGAAATCAATATGAGGCCTGATAAATATTTCAAACCAGCCAATGTCTCCTCTGGGTTTGCCCTGCTGCAGCTCATGAGGCTTTGGAGGAGGAGAATTTGTTTAATCTGTTGCTCTTCATCTTTGTGAAGAGACTAAGGAATAACTTTGTAGACTTTGTCTTTTTCTGCTTCGCACAGCAACTGTTGGCAACAACGAGGCAAAAGGTGAGAAAGCGTTAGCGGTATGAACAACGCTGCTGCCAGGAAATTATGTGTGACTTTTTTTTTTTTATTCAGTTTGTGGCCTGGAGAGCAAATCAATGCTCGAGCATCTGTGACTCCATGTTGA